CGGATGGACAGACAGAGAGAACTATCTAGTCTTTATAGGATTTGCTGAGACTTGTGTGTTGGATCAAGGTAGATCGTGGGATAGTCATTTTCCGTTGATTGAGTTTACCTACAACGACAGTTATCATTCTAGTATTGGAATGGCACCGTATGAGGCATTTTATGGTAGGATATGTAGGACTCTTTTGTGTTGGTATAGGTCAGGCGAGAGTGTTATGCTCGAACCGGAGATTGTTCAGCAAACGGCTGAAAAGATCAAGATGATCCAAGAAAAGATGAAAGCATCGCATAGTCGTCAGAAAAGTTACCATGACAAGAGGAGGAAAGAACTCGAGTTCCAGGAAGGAGATCACATGTTTTTGAGAGTTACGCCGGTAACTGGTGTTGGCCGAGCTTTGAAGTATCAAAAGCTCACACCGTATTTTGTCGGTCCGTATCAGATTTCGTAGAAGGTGGGAGGAGTAGCATACCGAATTGCTTTACCGTCGTTGCTTGCGAATTTGCAAGATGTGTTTCATGTGTCTCAGTTGAGGAAGTACATTCCAAATCTGTCACATGTGATTCAGATAGATGATGTACAAGTGAGAGATAATTTGACTGTTGAGGCATTCCAGTACAGATTAATAAACGAGAAGTGAAGCAACTTCGAGATAAAGAGATTTCCTTGGTAAAGGTAGTTTTGGGAGGACCAGCTGGAGAAAGTTGGGCTTGGGAGCGTGAGGATCAGATGAGGGAGTCGTATCCAACTCTGTTTCCTTGAGGTAATTTTCGAGGGAGAAAATTCTTTTAAGTGGGGTAGAGTTGTAACACCCTAAATTTATTTGAATATTCATTTAATTTATTTAAATAGGAATATTCGTATTTTTGGTGATTTGCGGTGGTTGGTATGAAGTATTGAGAATTATGGATTTTGGGTTATTTATGTAAATAATAGTATATAATATGAATATATTGATATTATTATTAACTTAAATAAATATATGTGAATTAAGGGCAAAATGGACATTTGAGGAGGAGTTAGTGAGCGTGAAATTGGAAAGCCCATTTTAAGATCCAAAGTTAGGTTTAACAAAAAGGAATTTTGAGGGAATTAGGATTCATTCTTGTTAGACCGTGAAAAGGGAAGAAATAGAGGCCAAAGCTCTGAGGAAGAGGATTGAGGTAAAGCTTCACGAGGTTTCCAAGAATCAAAGAAGAAAGGTTTAGAGTCGGAAGATTAAGGTATGTAGAGTATTACCTTCATTGTTTTCAATATATGATTCAATGTATTTAAAGTCGATTTAAGTATTTAGGAGGTTTTTGAGTTTGAGGAAAATTAGGCCTTCGTGGCCAAATCTATTTTTGAGGTTGTTTAAGTATGAGGAGTATTACCTTCATTGTTTTCTCCCCCTGCCTGTTTGAATGTTGTTTACTCCCCCTGCCTGTTTGAATGTTACCTCCGCGTGGGTAACGTGCAACTGGCCAGGTTTAGCCGTGGATGCCGCCGAGGACTTTTTGGAGTTTTTGACATTTTGGTTGACTTAGAGGGTCTTGTTCTGATAGTGTAACATCGGGTTGAGGTTTTTGAGTTAAACCATGTTTTATTAATTTTTGTTATTTTGATTATGTTGTTGTGCAAGGAAAACTTTGGATTTGCCTTTTTGAGTTTCGCTGCCATTTGAGCAATTTTTGAGTAATTTTGGGAAAACGCGTTGTTTACGGAGCATTTGACTTTGATTTGAATTATTGAGAAATGTACGTCCTTTGAGGTGATTTTTATTATGTTAAAAATATTACTCTGATAAATGTGAATGATTTGCCATTATATTTTTGGGGTAGAAAAGGGTGTCACAAATACAAGTAAGCATGAGAAGCCACACAAGAAAACTATGCAAAACAACCCTCAAAAGCAAGATCTTTGCAAAAAGTATCAGTGGTAACCGATTACTTCATGAGGTAACCGATTACCCCATGAAAAACAACACTTTTAGGGGCGTAGACTGAGTGAAGTAACCGGTTACATGATGAGGTAACCGGTTACCTCAACAAAAAACAGCAAAAACAACATTCCAAAAGCATTTTTCAGAATCACTTTTCACATGTAATTGCAGTGGATCAAAGCCTAGAATGAGATACAAAATTCATGTTAATTCATAGCAGATGAAAGTTAAAAGAATCAATCATGCAAAGGAAGAACCCAAGTAACAAAACATCAACTAAGAAATATATTGCAAAAACGCGAAATATTTCAAAAACGGTAAATTAAGCAGAAATTCACCAACCTACAAGGCTGAGGTTTGCCTTGGTAATTGTTGAGCAAAAAATATGATGCGAAGAAGTAAAGAAAACTAGAGAATTCTAATATCTAGAGCAATCCGTAGCAAGAAAACCGGAGAAAACGCGATAAATGCTTCAAATCCGAATTTACACCGAAACTCTTGTAATGATCAACTTTCAAAATTTGAATCGAAGTAGAAGTTGTTGTTTTTGCAGAATTCAAAGAAGAAATATAGTGGAATGGAGGTTTATCTCAAAGATTAGCAAGTTCAACGTGAAACTTGCTAAGCTTTAATGGTGGAAAGAGCTCTAGTGAGGCTTGGTGAAGAAGATGAAGATGATTGAAAGAGAAAGTTGCAGAAAATGCAGAGCAAATTGAGAGTGAAGAATGAAAAATTAAGAAAATGATCAAGGTCCTTTGCAATAATGTGAAGGTTTGCTTAAATAGAGTGTAGGTTTTGAGTGGGTTAGGCTTGGAACTTGGTTTGGGGTTAGGCTTGGAACTCGCGTATGCTGGAAATGCGAGTGCACATGCTTATGTAAAAAGGCAAAAGGGAATGTCAAATTTCGGGTTACCACAATTACATGTCAGAATAATATATTCCTATTAAATAACAATGCAAAACTTTTTTACACTATAATGCGTCTCCATTAAACCCTTTTATCAAACAATTTTTTTTGGCTTAATTGCAATTTTGGTCCCTTTTTTTATTTTTATTTTTTAATTTTAGTCCCCCTATTTTAAAATTCGGAAATTTGGTCCCTCTATTTTCAATTTTTTTTTATTTTTAATCCCCCTATTTTAAAATTCGAAAATTTGATCTCTCTATTTTCATTTTGTTTTACTTTTGATCCTCCTATTTTAAGTTTGTTTTTGGATTTTAGTCCTTTTTCCAATTGAAAAAGGAGATCAAAAGACTAAAAAAATTAAAATAAAGTGTCCACAATTTTGAATTTTAAAATAGGGGATCAAAAGTAAAAAAAATGAAAATAGAGGAATAAAAATTTCAAATTTTAAAATAGAAAATCAAAAATAAAAAAATAAAAAATAAAAAAAATCAAAATTGCAATTAAAACTTTTTTTTTCTTCCCATTAAGCTTTTAAAAATAAAATTATCAAACAATCACTATTTTTTATTATCTCTAAAAAAAACAATTTTTAAAAATCAATTGGCTTAATTGCAACTTTGGTCCCCCTATTTTGTGTTTTTTTGGGTTTTGATCCCCCCATTTTAAAAACTACGATTTTGGTCCCTTTTTTAGGTTTCAAGATTGATATTAGTCCCCTTGCCATTTTAAGTCATGTTTTTAATGATGTGGCGCGTTGAATGATGATGTGACATTTCCATGTCATTTAAAATGGTCCTATTAATTTTAATATCATTTCCATGTCATTAACGTGGTTTTTTATTTCATTTTCAGAAAATTAATAAAATAAAACTTAAATGTAAAACCCCAGCTCTTTCATCTTCAACCCATTTCTTCAAACCTAGTTCACGAATGAACGAATCTTGGTCTTCTCTTTCACGAACGAATCTTCCCATTTCTTCAAATCCAGTTCTATATCAAACCACAACTCGCTTCAAATCAAACCACAACTCGCTTTCAGTCGTCTCTGAAATGGCAAACCGAAGTTACGTGTCGAGGTATGTTTCGTAACTCACCTCTGAATACAAAAACTCTAAACACGCAAATGGCGTTTGTGTTCTGTCATAGCATATGATTTGTTTATACCAACTTCCGGTTTTATCTATGTTTTAATTCAGAAACTATCGTTTGTGTTTTGTAGGCCCTCTGATACCCAAGCTGTCAGATTTAGAGTACACCATAGGGGACATTTAATTCAGAATCCAGTTCTGTTGTATGTTGATGGGCTTGTAACTGAAATGAATTGGGATTGGGATGTGGACTTGATGTCCTACATGCAAATTGAAGATTTGATCAAGAGTGAGGGGTATCATAATATAAAGTGTTTATCGTATTGGAATCCTAATTTTTCCTTTTCTCGTGGACTTCGGCCTCTGAACAATGATAATGATGTCTTAAGATTAATGGAGGATGTTAGAGGATTTAAGGTAGTTGATCTTTATGTTGAACACAAAGTTGAAGAAATAAGTATTGAGGATGTTATTTTTGAGGAGGATAATGGTGAAAAAGTCAATGGTGAAGGAGCAAACGGTAACGGTGAAGTTAATGTCGAGGGAGCAAATGATGAAGTTAATGTCGAGGGAGCAAATGATGAAGTTAATGTCGAGGGAGAAAATGATGAAGTTAATGTTGAGGGAGCAAAAGATGAAGAGGTTAGTGTTGATGGAGTAGATGAAGAAGTTAGTGTCGATGGAGTAGATGAAGAGGTTATTGTCGATGAAGTAGATGAAGAGGTTAACGTTAATGTTGATGACGTAGATGGCGGGAGTGAAACAGATCCAGATTATAGCATGGGCAATGAGGATGACGGGGAAGAGGATGAAGATTTGGAAGATGAAATTGATGTGATGAATTTAGGTGTTGACGTTAGTATTAATTGGAAGACCATTTTACCTAATGCTACAGCAGAAAAACCTTCAAAGTTGGATGGTAATTCCGATAATGGTAGTGATTCAGATGTGCTTCAAACTCCACCCGGGTAGTGATGCTGAAGGTGATATGGAAAAGTTTCCAATCTTTAGGGAACCCACACAACTTGAAGTAGGGATGATGTTCAAGGATAAACAACAAATCAAAGATGCCATAAAAGAGTATGCAATGGAGAACAAGAAGAATCTCGTATTCAAGAAAAATGACAAGAATAGAATGGTTGTCAAGTGTGTAGATGGTTGTCCATTTCATATTAGGTTTAGCATGAGGATTGCCAATCAATATTGGCAACTTGTTAGCTTAACTGATCGTCATGGTTGTCATAGGACATCCAAAAATAGACAAGCAAAAACGGATTGGTTGGGTCGTCAATTTGTGTACACCATAAGACACACTCCTGAAATAAAAACCAAAGGGCTGATTGCAGAAGCTATTAAGAAGTGGGGGGTGAAGTTGTCAAAGGATCAAGCTTATAGAGCCAAGAAAAAGGCAATGGAATTGATTCAAGGTGCTGGTCGTGAACAATTCACATTTCTTAGAAGCTATGGTGAGGAGTTGTTAAAGTCAAATCCAAAATTCAATGTTAAAATTAAGTGTGTTGATTCAGATGGTGGTCCTGTCTTTGAAAGAATATATGTATGCTTAGAAGCTTGTAAGGCAACGTTTGCAACGACGTGTAGGCCTCTAATAGGACTAGATGCTTGTTTTCTTAAAGGGGACTTTGGAGGTCAGTTAATAGGTGTTGTTGGTAAGGATGGAAATAACAAGATTTATCCAATCGCTTATGCCGTAGTGGAAGCTGAAACGAAAGACTCTTGGAAATGGTTCCTTAATTTGTTACTAGAAGACTTGCAATCTATACAAGACAACAAATATGGATTTATATCAGATCAACAGAAGGTTATTTTTACATTGCTGTTATGTGATGTTATATGTGTTATGTGTTAGTTGTGCTGCTATGCTGCTATGCTGTTTGATATGTGCTGCTATGCTGTTATGTTCCATTACAATGCTGCTATGTTGTTTGATATGTGTTGCTATTTGTTAAATAAGAAGGGAATTTCAATAACAATTTGATATGTGATGCTGCTACTGCTATGGCCTAAGTTTCCAAATGTGATGCTGCTACTGCTATGACCTAAATGGTGTGTTGATATGCATTTAAGTAAGAGGGGAATTTCAATAACAATTTGATATGTGATGCTGCTATTGCTATGGCCTAAGTTTCCAAATGTGATGCTGCTATAACATATGGCCTAAGTTTCCAAATGTGATGCTGCTACTGCTAAGTTTTCAATAACAATTTGATAAGCAAAAGTATGTAAATAGATAGAAAGACTAATGTGCATTTAAATTAATCAAAGACTAATGATGTGTTGATATGTGTTGTTATGTACTGCTGTTTGATGTGTTGTTATGTGCTATTATTTTAGGGATTGGTACCGGCTATTCTTGAGACAAGCTAACATGTTGAACACAGACTATGTGTTAAACACTTGTATGGAAATTGGAGAAAGAAATATCCTGGGATATTTATGAAGGACGCTTTATGGCGGGCAACTAGAGCCATAACAATTCCTGCATGGGAAAGAGCAATGAATCATATGAAAGAGCTCAATGTCAATGCTTAGAAAGACATGATGGATGTCCCAGCTGCATGTTGGACTCGGTCTCATTTCAAAACAGACACACAATATGATTTGCAAGTCAACAATATGTGTGAGGCTTTTAATCGTGCAATCTCGGAGTATAGAGATAAGCCGATCATTTCACTACTTGAAGGAATCAAACATTACATAACAGTGAGAATCGCTACTTAAAAGGAGAAATTAAGTAGGTACACAGGTGTTACAAGTCCTAACATTCAAAAAGTCTTGGAAAAAACAAAGAGGGAAGCAGAAGGATGGATTGCAACATGGCATGCAGATGATAACTTTGCTATATTCGGAGTTTCAAACGGTGTTGAGACATATGTTGTGAACTTGCTTCAACAGAAATGTGGTTGTAGGAAATGGGATTTAAGTGGAATACCATGTTGTCATGCTATTGCATGCATATGGTATAACAAGAAGGAGCCCGAAGAGTACGTTTCATCATTCTATAGGTATCACCTACTTGTATATTATGTTCGTTTACATTCATCTTTTTTGTACGTTTACTAAAATCATTGTGTCATATTGTCTAGGAAATCTACTGTTCTGGCTACTTATAGCCATATTATTATGCCAACCAATGGCCCACAACTATGGTCTGTTAATGTTGCTAACCCAATCAGCCCTCCAGTCATGTGAAGATCTATCAGTCGTCCTAATAAGAATCGTAACAAGGCGAATGATGAACCGAGGATAAGAAATACACTGCCTAGAACTCTTCAAACTGTCAAGTGCAAGAAATGTGGGAGTTTTGGCCATAACAAACAAACGTGTAAAGGGAAGCGAGCTGCGGAGAGAGCGATTCCTAAAGGTGGCAACAAAAAACCTAAAAAAGGGTGACAAGTTAGGCAAGGAAGCGGGACAAACTGTTATAGACGGAGGGTCGCAAGCATCGCCACCAACCCAAGAATAGTTCTATGTTTTACTTTACTTTTTGTGATGCTGTTATAACATATGTTAATGACCTAAAAACTCAAGGTCTTTTTGTTAAAATATGTTGTCTTTAATGCTGCCTTCAATGTAATGATACATCAGTCTTGATACATCAGCCTTCAATGTTATGTTATGTAGTGCTGTTATGTAATGCTGCTGTTTGATATGTAAAGTTACAATGCTGTGTTGTTTATACATCAACCTTCAATGTTATACATCAGTTTATTATTACAATGCAGTGTTGTTTATACATCAGTTTATTATTAGAATGCAGTGCTGTTATGATACATCAGTGTTCAAAGTAATGCTGCCTGCCTGTTATGTAGTGCTGTTATGATAAATCAGTGTTCAAAGTAATACTGCCTGTTATGTAGGTCTTTTAAGGTTTCAATTTTTGACAGCACTGAACTAAACTTCCTGTTATGTAATATTTATTCAAAAGCTTGTTAGGATTCATTAAAAAGGAGGTCTTTATGGCTTTGACAACTATAGACTGAATAACAACCATAAGTATCTTCCTTACTATTAATCATTTATGGGTTAATAAGTACAAACACCTTGATTTTGCAACTAGCTGTAATACACCCAATTATTAGTTAACAAGTTTCAAAATATAGAAGAGGATAGTTGAAAGTGATATGTTGGTTTCTTTTACAACATAAAGTATCCAAAAATACCAATTTACTAAGGTAACAAAGAGATTTATAAGATCAGCTTCAAACTGTTTTTGTACCTTTCAATACTTTTTTGTACTTTGTCTTTGCAAAAGTACTACTAAAATATGTTTCAAACTGTTTGCACAAAAGATCAGCTTCAAACCTTTGAGTATCTTATATTATCTCCTAAAATCTGTTTCCAATTTACTTTAGTTATTACATGATGTGTTCCCTGATTTCCCTATTAATTTAGAACTGGGAGTCTTGTATCATTGTAAATAAGAACTAGTATTCAGTCATTTTGTATCATACTATTTATCAAGTTATTCTGCATAAACAAGGTTATGCTGCTTTTCATTTGAAATATTATGCAGCTACTTTAATATTATGCTTAGGGCTGGCAATGAACCAAACCAACTCGAAGATAGTTCGGAATTCGACTCGACAATTAAATCGTTGAACTAGGTTCATGAACCAAATGAGTTGAGTATGAGCGAAAAATTAAATTCGTTAACTAAATGAGCTGAACTTGAACTATACATAGTTCGACTCGTTAGGTTCATGAGTCAACTCGATTACATATGAAAAAAATTATACTGTCTTTAAGATTAGGTTTAAATATTTACTTCAAATCTTAGACAAATTTAATCTTCAATTTAGTAGTTTTTGAATTAGACTCTCAAATGTATCTCTTGAAAGTTGTGTAGGTTTTAAATTAGTAAATTTCGAAGATAAAGTTAAATTTCAATATGATAACTTTTATTTTATTTTAATATTTTATTTAAAATATATATATTTATTTAAAATGTCAAATATACTAAAAAATATATATTTAAAAAAATAGTTTTTAAGTTCGTGAACCATGTGAGCTGAACCTAATGAGATGAACCTAACGAGTCGAACCGAACTGTTCGTGAACTTATAACGAGTCGAGTTTGAGCTTAAAAAAAAGTTCGTGTCAAACTCGAACTCGAACTCGAATTCGAACAATTCTTAACGAGTCGAGCCGAGCTGAGGTGAGTTCGACTCGACTCGACTCATTTCCAGCCCTAATTATGCTACATAATACAAGGTTATGCTACTACAATATTATGCTGCTACTTTATTAACACAAACAATCATAACTCTTCATTTGAGATTACTTCATTTGGAAACTACATAAACATCAAAGTAACTACAACATTTGACATTACATCATTTGAGTACATGTGTTGCAACTAATGCAAACACAGTTAAAAAGACAAACATCAAAGATAACCCCACAAAATAATACACAAACCTAATTTTCATCTTCAACAAATCTTCATTTTTCTTGATGTCCTTAATCACATCCATAAGCTTCTCATTCTTGTCTTTTAAAGATCTTATCACATCTTTAACACGACTGCTCATGTCTTCATCAACTCACTGAAAGTAATTCCATCTTTTTTTCTTCATCACCTTAAAATTACCACAACCATGAAATCTTCTTCCGGAATTATCGTATGTCCATGACGTCATCAACGGTGACTCAAGCTCACACCAACATCTATTACTTCTTCTTCTTATACCAGACCCAGACTGGTTTGTTGAGGAAAAAGAAAATTTCGTTTCGGACATGTTGGTAAGTAGGGGTTCGAAATTAATGGCTACAGAAGGGTTGGTATGGGTTTGTTGAGGAAAGGAGGACTGAGTTTGAAGAAATGGCTACAGAAATGGCTGAAGAAATGAGTTGTTCTTCGTGAAAAATGAAATGGAAATGGAAAAAATGAATGGTTGAAGAAATGGGGTTTTACATTTAGGTTTTATTTTATTAATTTTCTGAAAATGAAATAAACAAAACCTAAATGAAATGGAAATGATATTAAAAGTAATAGGACCATTTTAAATGACATGGAAATGCCACATCATCATTCAACGCGCCACATCATTAAAAACATGACTTAAAACATGACCTAAAAAAAAAGAAAGAAAAAAAAAAGAGACTAAAATAGTGGTTTTTAAAATAGAGGATCAAAACCCAAAAAATACAAAATAAGGGGATCAAAGTTGCAATTAATTTAAAATTTCTAAAATAGTATTACAAACTCAATGAAACAAGCCCTAACGCTTCAAATTCTTTCACTTCCATGGAATATCCGCAAGAACATGCTGCTTCATGACGCAAACGCTATATAATCAAATCAACTATCACTCACAATTTATGCTTCACGTCATCATCACAATCACACGTTATTCATTATACTTCTATAATCCACCAATCCCAATCTCATCTTTGATACTGTCATGAGCAACTGTTACAAGATCAATGGCTGCAACAATGAACCCAATATTTTGGCTATCATTTTTGACTTAGATGGCACACTTCTCGATACTGGTATTTCTATTTGTATTTCGCTTGCTGCTGAAATTTTGTTGATTTTTTTATGAATTTTGAATTTGTGTTTATGATTGGTGTGTGCAGAAAGGGTTACAAGGGGTGTGTTGAATGAGTTTATGGGAAAGTATGGGAAGGAAGTGAATAAGGAAAGGGAAGAAAAAAAGAGGTTAGGGATGACACAGAAGGAATCAGCGGCTTTAATTGTTAAGGATTATCAGCTCCCATTAACACCTGACCAATTTATCAAAGAAATTAACCCTCTCTATATTCAAAGGTAACAACACTTTATATTTATCGTCAGAGTTTAGGGTTTAGGGTTTATATATGACTATGTATATATGGTGATTAATTGCTTACGCGTTAGAGGATTCTTCTTTTTCAATTCATGAATTGATTTAGGTGGAGAGAAGCGAAAGCTTTGCCCGGTGCTAATCGAATCATCAGACATTTTTTGAAAAATGGTGTACCGATGGCTCTTGCTTCAAACTCCTTGAGAGAATACATATATGCAAAAATTCCTTACCATAAAGGTACTTTACACCTATTTGTATTTGTTTTTCATGTATGAGTTTTTGTAATTTTATCAAACTTGCAAATTCAAACATGCACTAGATGATTAGGATAGTTTCAGCTTAAGATTAATAAGTTGGAATACTTGATATGTAGTTTCCTGCTTAAAATTATATATTTGATACTTGATAAAATTGATTTTTGTAGGTTGGACAGAAAGCTTCTCTGTAATTCTAGGAAATGATCAGGTTAAATTTGGGAAGCCTGCTCCAGATTTGTAAGATTCCTTATCCCGAGAAGTGTTTTAAATTGCGGACGCAACACAAGATGCGACTTCAATACTATGATAATTTATA